GGAAAACTCCTTCACGATCTCCCCACATTCCTTGATCGGAAGAAAGCTGAAGTGCCAACGGCCCAACGCGTGAGGTGGAGAGGGGTTGGGGTCGATGGGCGCAAGCCAACCCAGCCAGCCACGGTTGGCCGGTACTCTCACGCGATTCTCCACCTGTTCCCTCGGCGGTGTTCTGGGGAGGTGGAGAGTAAACTACATGCAGACAATCACGCAACATCAATAACTCGAAGTGCAAGTGTACCTGGAGAGGCTCACGCAACATCCAAAACGCGAATGCCAAGTGTACCTGGAGAGACTCGCCCCGTCCTTTTCCCCCCATACCAATCAAGATTGTATAGCTGGGAAGAGAAGAGGCCGGGCGAGATGCGAAGAACAAACGATCGACGCCCCAAAAGAAAGTCGCAAGCGCAAGCGCTGGACGAAACAACACAAGATCGCAGCGCGGGAGCGATTCGACCATGCAAGAGACGTGCAGCTAGCAAACAAACAATATCACGCCATCTACACATTGTGCTGCAATGCCGCAAGGACCACATTCCTATGAATACGAACTCCCGTGAGCAGCGCGCGCGTGCGTCGTGGCGAACAGGCAATGCCGCCCATGATCCCCACTCGTCCTCGCGCAAGCACATCGAAGGGAATCTCTACAGCGAACGCGCTGCATGTGGCAGCGCTGCAACACCACGAGAAAGCACGTCGTCAAATTATCCTGGCGAAAGACCTAACCATGCGCAAGTGTGAGAACCGCAGGGCAAGTGGGACGAAGCAAAGGGAATTCCCGATGGGGCCACGAACCGTGCAAGGGGTGCGCCAAAATGGGGCGGGGCCGCCATGCGAACCCTGCCACTGAAGCCTTCGGTGGAGCTCCCTGCGGGGCCACGAACACTGTGAGGGATGCGCCAAAATGTAGCGGGGCCGCCATGCCAAACCTGCCAATGGGGCCTTCGGCGGAGCCCCTCATGGGGCCACGAACCGTGTGAGAGGTGCGCCGAAATGCGGGGCCGCCATGCGAACCCTGCCGCTGAAGCCTTCGGTGGAGCTCCCTATGGGGCCACGTTTCGTGTGAGGGGTGTGCCGAAATAGAGGCACGCGGAGGGCAGCGGCAGGGAGGTGGAGGGTGGAGGAGCGGAAGGAGGGGGAGGGGAAGAGGAGAGGAGGAGGAGAGGTGGGACGCGGGGCGCTGTCTCTTCAAAACGAGGACCCAATACCACAGGATGGTTGGGAGAAAGAAACACTTGCCGACGACAGCCGCAACGCATCAACAACCGACATACATGTTTAAAACGTCCGAAACTTATGGTTGCGGTGGCTTCTTGCGCGGTCGAAAGTGGGTCTGCTCCCAGGTTCCATCATGGTCAGTGATCCGAAGCGGGTCCAGCCGTGGCCACGAGAAGCCTCCAAGACGCCCGCCCCACAAAAAATTATCCTGGCGAAGGACCCAACCATGTGCACTTTTGTGTGCCGCGTTGTTGGTACCGCTCTCGGTGGAGCTCCCTACGGGCCACGACCCTCGTGAGGGGTGTGCCGAAATGGGCGGGGGGGGCGCATGCGGACCCTGCCGCTGGGGCCTTCGGTGGATCTCCCTATGGGGCCACGGTCCTCGTGAGGGGTGTGCCGAAATGATCGGGGGGGCGCATGCGGACCCTGCCGCTGCGGCCTTCGGTGGAGCTCCCTATGGGGCCACGAAACGCTGTCCTGATTGGGTGAAACGCAGGGAGGTGACGAGGCGGATGGGAGGAGGGAGGAGGGGGAGGAGAGGGAGGAGGGAGGGCCAGCTTTGCGTCCCGAGTAATTTTTTGACGGTCCTGCGGCCCAGCGAGGGTCCCTGGACGCCGAAAACTGCGACCCCCCCCGAATTCACTTTTTCAATGCGTTGAAAGTCGATGCGTTCCTAGAGGCCTCCTCGACGGGGTCGCAGGATCGCGCCGAATCGCCAATGCATCGGCAATGCATCGGCGATGCATCTGCAACGTCTGCGATGCACCGGCGCCGTCGGCGTTGAGAACATCGGGCCCCACATCGCGCCGCATCGGCGATGCATCGGCGATGCGGCGCGATCCTCCGACCCCATCTGGGAGGCCTAGAGTTCCCCCCTGAGCCTGTCCCCTCCCCTGCCCGTCGGTCGAAACAAGTGGGTAGAAGCATGAAGTAGGAAGGCGTTTGAAGTAAATTGGGCTTCCGACCGCCCCATGAAGAGGAAGGAAAAGGTGAATGGGTGAATGCACTCGACGATCGAAGTAAGAATGCGCTTGAAAAATATTGTGATCCAGGAATCAAAAAATACCTACTTTCAACGACCAGCGTGTATCGCTGCTGCTGGAAGAGCCGCCAAACCCTCATGCTGATGGCCTCCCCATCCACTGGACCCAGAAGCCGCTAAACGTTCGAGGCCCCAAAACTGTGTGGTGACGGACCGCGTGGCGACCTCAGAATACCCAACGGCCTCACCGTGCGGTTCGTCACCGCACGATCTTGAATCCTCGGAGGCACCAGTCGCCCGAGACGTCCTCGGAGAACCGCGAGGTGACCCCGAATCGCCACTGACTCACCACACGGTGTGGTCACTGCACTGTTCGAGGACCCCCGAGAAAACGCCAAGACAGAAGAAAATACATCGCCGGAGATCTGTAACCCTCTGTACACTGCATCTCTCCGCTCCGCCTCTGGTCCCATCGTCGACGATGCGCGTTCGATGCTGCACAGTAGGCAGTTTGGCCCGAAGAGCCCCAAGGGGGCGAAACGCGATGCCTCTACCTCTTTTCGCTTGAGACCCGATCCTAAACGAGAGACGCACAAACCAGGCCCCTATGCCACAAACACCCCCTCCCCCCTCGGCACGGTCGGGCGGGGCGGGCGGGCGGGGGGCGGCCGGCGCTGGCGCGCCTGGCACTCCCGCACCCACGGCGAGGGCGCCTGCACCCCCACAGGAGTCGGTAGGAGGAGGGGGCAACGGGAGGAGATGCTGCTGGCGGTACAACGATAGCATGCGATGTGGCGCCACGGGCGCGGCTCTTACGCGCTATCCCCGCACTCTGGGGATAGCGCGCACTGAGGAAGCCCTTGCAGGGGTACAGCGTGCACAGCAGGATCTCTCGCAGGGGGATCGCCTCAAAGGGATAGCGTGCACGAGAGAAGCCTCATTCTGAGGGATAGCGTGCTTTTCGGAGATCGGCGTTGAATGCAAACTTTCGGACGCCAGCCGTAGGACGAGCGGGGGGAATGACGGAGGAAGGATCGGGAGAGAAGGACGTGGGAGGCGAAAGAAATGGCAAGGAAAGAGTGACTGAGGGAGGGGAAGGGGGAGGGGAAGGTGGAGAAGCAATGACAAAGGAAGAGTGATCCCTCCTCCTCCTTCTCCTCCTCCTCCTCCTCCTCCTCCTCGCCCGTCCTCTGCCTCCGCTTCCCTCGGCGCGCACGCGCCCTCCTCCCTCCTCCCCCCATTTTGCCGCCCTCGCGCGCGCGTTCCCGCGGGCGCGCGGTACGGGGGGGGGCGGAGGACGAGCAGGGAAGAGCATGAACCAGAAATCAGCGCCCCTCACCCGTGGCGAGCGTGCGGAGGAGCAGGAGCGAGACGGAGGGTGGGACGTTAGATTCCTTCGCCCGCGGCGAGACTGGGAAACCGTACGACGTTTTACACACGCACTACATACGCACGTGGACATGAACATGTATGCTTGTGTATATGTATATATATAGGGAGAGAGAGAGAGAGAGAGAGAGAGAGAGAGAGAGCGCGTGAGAGAGAGACAGAAGCGGGGGGGGGCGAACAGGAGAGAGAAAGTGAGAGAGAGAGAGAGACGGACAGAGAGTGATACGGACATGGGGGGGAGAGAGAGAAAGAAAGAGAGAGAGATGGGGGAGAACGACAGAGCAACAGAGAGAGAGAGACAGAAAAAGAGAGAGAGAGAGAGAGAGAGAAATACACATGGAAGTATGCACATGCACGCCCACACATATATATATATACATGTATGCAATTTTACATATATAATTATATATAACTTAACGCATATGTATATATCAGAGTGAGGGGCCGAACCGTCATTCATTGTCCCTGGGTGCGTGGCTGGAGTGGGGATCCGTTGTCGCGGCGGTCCGCGCGCGGAGGATGAGGGGAGAAAATCGGTCCCTTTTTCCTGCGCTCGGGACCGAAAGGGCTGCAGCACAGTGCAATGCAACATGCTTATGATGATACCTGCCACTTATAACTGCTACTGCTACCTACATGCTGCTACCTACCACCCCCCCCATATAGTTACACGGATCATGCTATGGGCTCAACGCCCCTCCACTCTGCCGAGACTTCGCTGTCTGGTCAGAGCCTGCACCTAACATGACCTGGGCAAGAAGCGCCCTAAGCGTGCTCCCAGCCTCTCTGCGGAGTCAGGCTCCGCTGGGTGGTCGGCCTGTGCAGGGCGGCTCCCGGAGCCGCGTTTCACTGTCAAGGTGGCGGACGCACGATCCGGTCAGTGCCAGTCCCTGCCCTTCCGGCTCGCTGAGTGTCAAGAGAGAGTTGATCAGACTCCAGCCTCCTGTAGACACCTCCTCATCTGTCAAGTCCATGAGCACATGGCCCGCTAAATCCATAGACGGGGCTTTGTTTCAGCTAGCCTGTACACAAGTCATATTGTGCATATGCTTACTATATATACACATATCTATACACCCGTACCCCTTGCACGGACATACGGCGTGCTCACGGCACACCACCCGCCAGCTCGTAGCAGCCAGGCTTGCCAGCACCAGCTGACGTAGCGCATGTGTGGGGAGTCCACCACCATTGCCATGCGTGTTGGTATCGCGGGATTGTGGCAGGCTTTTGCTGCCTTCCCGGTCGCCGCGCTGCCGGCTAGGCGTGCACAGCGTTCTCGTGTGCGGAGTCAAGCCCCGCTGTTGTTTGCGGGCGCAGGGTCCACTACCTGGTGTTCGTCGCGGGCTCACGGCCCGCTACTACTTGCAAGGATTCAACATCGCCAGAAACGACGCTGACCTGCCTGAGTTCAAGCCCTTTCGCTCCTCAAGGGCTCGTTCCTCCTCAGTGGCGTCATGTCTACTAGCTGCTGCAAGCGAGCCTGTGCATGTGCCTTCGTACCAAGGTCTGCCCAGTTGACTTCTCCATCAACCTGCATAAACTTACCGCGGCTGTCCCGGAATAGTGTTTGCACCCTGACGTCCTTGGCGGACAAGTGCCTCACCTTGCCGCTTCCTTGCCGGTTGCAAATTCCCCGTGTTGCTGACGAGTCGCTTAAAACATCTATGCTGCACTTGCGGCCAGTGAAAGATGAAATCACCTGGCTCGTCTGCGCGCCCTGTGCTGTGCTTTTGATGATAGCATAAAACTCCGCCCCCCCCCCACTCGAGAGAGCTAGGAGAATCTGTTTCGACAGGCTTACATCGCGCAAGTGCTTCCCGAAACTCTCGGAGACGCAACATGCGCTCTTTCTCGCCTCCCGGTATGCTGCCCAGTCGGAATCGCAGTGCTCCGTGAGCGATGACGGCATCTTCTGGTAGTCGAAGAGCCACACTTCTCCTGGGTGATCCAACAGGCACCGGCTGCAGCGTGCCAGCCTCATCTGGTGAATCTTGAGAGGCGCCGCCATCCCCTCCATGATCCCAGAAGCTGCAAACTTAACCGTGGGCGTGTCCTCTGCGAGGTACTGTAGCGCCCACGCTCCTGTCCTGAAGAGCACAGCGTCGTCCCTCCCAAGGGGATCGTGGACGTCTCCGTCGCCCTTCCCAGTGTCTTTGGACGCCGGCGTGCTCACTCCCTTGGACGCACCTGGCGTGAACCCCTGGAGCACGGCGAGATCGAGGATGCGCTGCGGGTCGCACTCCCGCTCAAAACCGGATATGGTCCAGCGGATCGTCCTCTTCAAGTGGTTTCCAGTCGCCGCCTGTCCGCCGAACTCCAGGGGGCCGATTCGAGGCAAGATCTTCACTTCGAAGTGCTTGCGCATGATGTTGCCCACCTGGTCAAACACGAAACACTCTCGCCCTCTGCAAGAAAATCGCCACCGTGACAACCCATGGACGCGTCGAGTGCTCTGTGAAAGAATGTCATGGTAACAACAACAACAAGTTCGAACCCTTCCGAAGTTCAAGCGTGCATCACGTACAGACCAAAGCGTTTCGGAGCCTCACGCGTGCCATCCATGGCCTTCAACAACAACCACACGTATCCTTCTCTGCGCACGTCTCGTGGCGGGATGACTGCCGTCGCGCCGTCGCTGTCTGCGTGAAAGAAGGCAACCGGGACATCGTGCCCAGCCACGAGCCTAGACCATGACCCGTCCACCCTCTGCTTGGACGCGGCCAACGACACAATGATCCGAAAGATCTTCACTGGGGGTGTGCTTTGCGTCGCGTCTTCGCGCGCATATGCGTTGATTTCTTTTGCTGCTAGCCTGGCCCGTGCCGCCTCCGGATCTTCAGCGGTCGGCTTGGGGTTCAAGTGCCCACTTCGAGTTTACAACCTTCAGTTTCCTTTCTCTGGCTGTGGACCATGGGATGTCTCCCTTCGCACCATAGGCTTCAATGTGGGAAATATCGCGGATCCTTCCCTCCAGAACCTTCTTGGGTTCCAGCTTGATGCCTGCTTCGGTCGAGAAGTAGTCCTTGTCCCACTCCATCTGCGCAGAACATGCCTGCGGGTCGCTGTTGTCGGCATCAGGTGCCGCTGCCAGGACAGACGCGCACGTCCCAAAAGAAGCTGCCACTACAGCTGGCTCGTGGAGAGTCGGCAGGCCGGCGATTAGCCGGGACCTCTTTGCCTGGGAGTCTTCCTGTGGCTCCCCCTCCATCTCGACGTCGCGAGAATCCTGGCCTGCTCGCGCTTCGCCCACGTGGGCGTCCGGGGGCGCAGCCTGCTGCTGGCCCTCAACAGCTAGCTGCTGTTGTTGATGTTGGCGGCCAACTTGCGCACCACCAGGTGGTGCAGCTCCAGGCGGGTGTGCTGCAGCAGCGATTGCTGCTGGCTGCGCGGCATTGGGTGCCGCTACGCGTTGCGCGGCATCAGGCGCCGCCGGCTGCGCCCCCTCGCGCTCCTGTTTCCGCCTGGCGGCGTCCTCCCTTTCAGCTCCTACGAATTTGCCGAACCTCCCCCGCCGCTCTGCTGTGCGTATCGCCTCTCCTGGGGCGCGACAGCCAGGGGAACCGGGAGTCGCGCCGAGGCGGATGATCCGGTCGAGGGTGATGTGCACCTCGCGGGGCTTGACCTCCTGGAATCCTGGGGGCACCGGGGCCCAAGGAGAGCCGACGAATCGGTCAAGCAAATGCGCGCCCCACCTCGACCTGCACAACGGCACTCCCTATGCAGTGCCGACAAGGTGCTCGTCTGATCGCATGGATTTCCCGAGCCAGACACCGAGGTGCCAGCGGTCGTCCGCCTTGCCCACTTCGCTATAACGGCTCTCGTGGTAGACGCACCCCCCGAACTCGACAAACTCGCCGTTGCATGGCTTGCCACGCAGGCGCTCGCACGGTGTTTAGCCGTCTGCATTGACGAGACAACGGACGATGAGCCAACTCGAATGTCTCACCAGCCAGGGCTGCACCTTGTGGCTGAGTGGGAAAGCCTGCTTGTAGACGGATTCCAGCCTGTGCTTCACGGCCCTGTACTGCTTCTCAACCTCGTAATTGCTGCGCTCAATCAGCCCTGCGCCCTGACGACTGCCCTTCGGCGCGTTGACCTTCGTGGCAGTGTGCCTCGACGGCCGGGTTCCCAAGAACTTGTCGCAAAGCTTGTTGGTAGCATTTTCACCATCGCAACATGCGGTCAAGTTTGTCCTGCCTGCGTAGCGCACTCCTTCATGGGCAACTGCCGGGGCGCAGTCGTCGCCGCCCTTTTGGTTGACCATGCCTGAGACAGGGGCGCCGGACATCGCGCCCAGCACGTTCAATACAGCGTACATATCCTTCTCCACCGCCTTCTGTGCGAAGGCCAAGTAATCCATGCACATTTTCGGCGTTGCTCCGTCGGGGGCCTGCTCAAGCTGCCGGCGGGGGTCTTCGGCGGCCTTGCCTGCGACGCAGCTTTCGCACCACGACCTGAACGGCAAATGGCTTAGCTGGTGCGCGCCCCACTCCGCCTTGCTCACAAGTGGCGGCATGGCTTTTGCTCGCGGCGCCCGTGGCCCCCCCGACCCCGGCACCAGCGTAGGCGGCCGTCGGTCAGGCAGCGCCGGGTCTGGGCGCATAGCGCCGGACGCACTCGAGGACGACCCTCCTTGTTGCACGTTCGGCCTCGGGGCACCCCCTTGCGCTGCTGGTTGCGCGGCATCAGGTGCCGCTGGTTGTTGTTCAGCCGGCGTGAACGTTTTCCTTGCTGCCTCCGCCGGGCAGAGCGGCCTCGCTTCTTCCTGCCTGGTCGCCCCCCGCACTTCTAGCCAGCACCCCCCCCCCCCCTATCCTTCGCCATGTCCAATCCGATCGATTGGCGCACAGCTTCCGTGAGCTGCTCGGCGCGGTCTAGCCCTATGATATGTTGTACCCCCGGGCCAAATACCAACCAAAGGCCTGGCTCGGTCGACTCTGAGGCCGAGACGACAGGAACCGTGACCTTGTCGCTGTCACTGTACCGCAAGACAATACCACTGCCGTCGTCTGCCTGGAAGTGAGACCTCTTCCCGCCCGAAAGGTTCACTTCTTCTCCCGTCGCTGTCGTCAGCGCGGTTGGTTTCAGGAAGCTGACCGGCTCTGCCTGGGGGTCGAAAACAGCAGGGCACGCGGACCTGCCAGCACCCGTGTCGACCATGACCCTCTGGGGCATGGGAGCCAGCATCTCGCCGGAGTCGCAGGGTGAGTGAGCATACTGGCATCACGTACCCATGCTGCACCTCCTCCTGCCCGATCTGCATGAGACCAGCCACCGGTTGCACCGTGGGCGGGGGCCCTGCGCCACCCTGCTGCGCGGCCTCAGGGGCCGCTGCCAGCCTTGCCTGGTTGTCCCTCGCCTTCTTGCGGTGTTCCGCGGCGATGTGCCCCTTCTTGTGACGGTAGAAGCGCTCCTTTTCCGCGTTGGCTTCCGCCCCGCCTTCGCCTTGGCCTTGGGGCCTCCCTTGCTGTCCTTTCCTTTGCCTTTCCGTGGATCAACTCCTTTCCCCCCCCTTCTTTCCTTTTCCTTCGCTTTTACCATTGCCTTCCCCCTTCTTGCCCTTTCCCCTTTGTGGCATGGCGCCTAGATCCACAGGTTTGGGCTGGGGGTTCAGGCGCTGCGCGGTTCGAGCCATGTCCCGCCGACGCGCCTCGAGGCCCTCATCGCCGGCATCGATGGCGCCAAGCCGCGCGGCACGGGGTCCGCGACCCGCAGGGGCAACAGACGCCGGGCGCGCCGGTGCCCTGCGCGGGCCGCGGGCCACGGCGCGCGCGCCTCGGCGCCGGCGGAGGCCGCGAGCGCGCGCGTCGCGCAGAGCAGCCCCGGCGCCTCACGCCTGACCATCGAGGCCCAGGTCAGGTGCCCGATCAGCGCGCGCGCCAGGTGGCCCGAGGCGCGCACGCGCCTCAGCAACTTCCCGACGGCGAGCTTCACCCCCCAAACCGAACGGCCCTCGATGGCACGCTGGCGCCCGCGGCGGAGCTCCACGCCCGGGGAGCCGCAGACGTCGGCGGCCCGGTCGGGCGCGTGCACCATCAGGCCTGCGGCCTCCAGCGCCACGGCGATGCGGTCGAGCGACTCGTCGGCCTGCGCCTCGTCGCTGCTGACAGGCAGGTAGTTGTCGACGTGCCCCGCGACTGCGGCCTGTCCGTTGGGCCCCACCACGACGCCGCGACGCCTGGGGGGCCACCCTCTACGACGAGGTGCCCAGGCGCCCCCTCGCGCGAGACCGAAGTCCGACGCGCCGGCTGGCAGCGGCGCAGCGCCCGCGAGAAGTCCATCGATAGCGCGACGAGGCAAGCGTAGAACCGCCCCGCGCTCGGGAGCCCCGATATGCCGCGAGCCTTGAGGTGGCGCCTGTCGATGGGCGGGGGCCTGAAGTGGCGGCAGAGGTCCTCGGGCATCGCCAAAAATGTGGCAGGCGTTGTCGATGTCCCCCGCGGCCGCGACCGCGCGACCCCAGGTGCCTCCAGGTTGGCGAAGGCGGCGGCGCTCGGCAATGCGGCGGCGGGCGGATCCACGAACGAGGCATTGGCCGCGCGCGTCAAGAATCAGTCTCAGACGTCTGCTCTTCTCTGCCACGCAGAAAACCCAATCGGCTTTCGCTAGGGCCCCCAGCCTGGAAGCTGGCCATCTTGCGCTTCAACATCTCAGCGTGGAAGTCGACGCGCGTCACCGGAGGGGTCGCATGGGGAGGATCGACCTGCGGTCGCGCAACATGCTCGAGCTCCAAACTCCAAGCCATTGGGCGTCCGGGCCTGCGACGGCGCTCGTGAGCGGCGCGGGGTCATCCACGACGTCGGGCCGCTAGATCAAGTCCCGCGAACCGGGTCGGCGGGGCCTTCCCGAAGAGCACAGAGAGCCCGAGAGAATATCAGCAAGAGCCCCTACAGGAAAACTCTCGCACGCGGCTCCAAGCAGGCGCATGCGGACTGGACGCGCTCGAGGGGCGCCCGCTGGCCTTCAGAGGCTCCGGGGAGCGACGCCTGAGTCCCAGGCGCACGCGCAGAGCTCATGACGTCTATGCGGTCATTGGCCCAGTCATGCCACCGCACGTTGCTGGAAGTCCGACGTCTGCCCCGGCGGCTGCGCCCAAAACTTGACCCCTGGCGCTGAACATCCCGATGCGGTTGTGGGAAAAGGTCCCGCTGGCGGTCATCAGAACGCGAGCGGCACGAAGGCTATGATGGTCTACCCGCAAGAAAGGGGTCGGCCGATGGACACGATGGCGGGCGAGGGCGCCCTCCCCGTTGTCATCCTTGCCAAAGCACTCGTCGCCCGTGGTCCCCCTCATGCTGTCGTGGGCCAGTTTGCGCGCCACTCTGGCGGAGGCCGGGCCCGCGGCTGGCCCTTCCGCCTTTTCGGGGCTTCGGCGCCGCGCACAGGCCAAGCTGCCAGTGCCCACGCAGGCGAGGCTGACCACACACGCGAAGGTGAGCCCCAGGAGCCCGAGCAGGTGGGCCTCCGTGGCGCTGCCGCCCAGGTAGACAAGCCGCGGCTCGCACGAGCACGCGCAGGCGGGACAGGGAGGCGGCGACGGGCAGGGTGGGCACTGCACGCCCCGCGCCGCAACCCAGGCCGCTGCGCCCGCCGCGAACCCCCGTGTCGCCTCGCGCAGCGCGAGGCCCGCCGGGTCATTTCACCGCGCGTGCCCCGCAAGAAACCCCAGAGGCTTCGACATTTGAGCAGTGCGTCCGCGCAAAACGCGGTGCGGCCGCCTGTCCGCTCCCCTCCTCGCTTCACGATGCTGAATATACCACATATATAGTGCGAGAGAACGGGAGAATCAGCATTATGAGCACACGTAAACATATATATATAAGTATATATATATGTGTATACTTATATATATATACATATATATCTATACACAGACAGAGAGAGAAACACAAAGAGAGAGAGAGAGAGAGAGACAAGAGAGAGAGTGAGACACACACACACACACACTAACACTAACACTAACTCTAACACACTAACAGAGACAACAACAGAGACATAGAGAGGAACGCTCGAAGAGCAAGACGAAGGTGGGGGCTACGCAAGCTGGTTTCCCGCACCCTTACGGTCTCGTCAAACCTTCTTCATGCGATGCATCGCCGATGCATCGGCAAAGGATGCGCACCCGGCGATGTATCGGCGATGCGAATCCTCCGCGTAGCAGGCACCTGGCGCGGTAAGCGCGCGCGCTCCGCTCTCTCTCTTTCTCTCTCTCTCTCTCTCTCTCTCTCTTTCTCGCCTGAGGAGAGATGAAGGAAAGGAGGCTCGCAGAAGGGGCTGATAGACGCGTCCGTACCACCAAACCTCGTGTCGCCCCCCTCCGTCGCCCTGCCCCGAAGACTAACCTCAATGAATACTTAAAGACTGGCACCTCCGGACGACCGCGCACGAGCGCGTCGGGCGACCGAAAATGTACGTCCGGTGGGGGCACGTAAATGAGGATATTGACTACGCTCGGAGGGTGCTGGCTTACCACCCGGGAGAAAAAGCCAAATCAGGCATGATCAGAGATGACCGAGAGCACAACTGAGAGGTGCAAGAGGAGTGGGCAGACCAGAGTTAACTGAATGACGTTCACGGCGTGCTACCCCATTCCAAAGCCAGCGGTATCTGCCAACAATCTGAGCGCGGATCATTGGACTAAAGGAAACAAGCTGTTACAACTCCCCGTGTTCCATCTCCCTACCTTGTCCGCGTGGCCTCGCCCACACCCCTTGCAATACCGTGCAGAAGGGCCCGGCAATGATCCTGCAATCCGCTGGGCCTTTACACCTCAGAGACGACCCATGGACCTGTCCCCGAGCGCGTTCGGTGCAAAAACTCGCCTATTCGCCCTCCTCCTCCTCCTCCTCCTCCTCCTCCTCCTCCTCGTGTTCCTCCTCCTCCTCCTCCTCCTCCTCCTCCTTCTCCTCCTCCTCCTCCTCCGCCTCCTCCTCCTCCCTCCTCCTCCTGTTCCATATTTTCCGTCTTTTCCTAGTCCTCCCCACCTTGTGCTCCTCCTCCTGCTCCTCCTCCTCGTGATCCTCCTCGTGATCCTCCTCCTCCTCCTCCTCCTCCTCCTCCTCCTCCTCCTCCTCCTCCTCCTCCGCCTGCTTGCTTCCTTACTGCAACTCCGGCTGCTGTTCCTCCTCGTTCTCTCCCCTACCATCCTCGTCGTCGTCATCCTCTCTCCTTCTCTTTCGCCCTCCCCCTCACTCCTGCTCCTGCTCCTGCTCCTGCTCCTGCTCCTCCTCATCCGCATCCTCCTCCTTGCTTCCTGCCTGCAACTCCTGCTGCAATTCCTCCTCGTCCTGTCCCATCCTCGTCGCCGTCCTTCTGCTCCGCCTCCTCCTCCTCCAGTTTTGGCACGAGAGCCGTGGGTGCGCCAGCCAAGCTGGCAGCGAGCTGTCGCCCTGTGACTGGCGCAACCACGCGGTCTGCCCTCCACCATCGACGCCGCCGCGATCGCCAGCGGGCGCGACTGCTGCTGGCGGATAGGGCAGGCAAGGACAGCGAGCGAGGCGCCTGGCGGAGGGCTCCAGGCTTCTTGCAGGCCGCCACGGCTCTTCTCCCGGCAGGATGGCGCCGCAGGTCAATGCGACGATCCTCGCGGGCCCCAAGAAGCCGCACTGGGGCTGCCCCTGCTGTGGTTGTTCGTCCAACTGGGCCTCGAAACTGGTCTGCCGCCGTGGCCAGAAGGCTCCCCAGCGCGCGCAGCAGCAGGCGCGCAGGGCCGACAAGGACGCCAAGGCAGCAAGCCCCGGTAAAGGTGGTGGTGGAGCTGGACTACAAGGGGCTACGCTGGCGCCCTGGAGCAAGGAAGGGAAGAAGATGGATAAGGCGTTCAAAGAGGCCCGTGCGCAGCTTGCGCAGGCCACCGAGCTCAACTTCTCTTTGGCCACGTAACCTGTCGCGGTGGATCTGGGGAATGAGGAGGCTGGAGATGGCGAAACGAAGGACGGGACCTTCGCCCAGCGCGCGGTCTTGCAGGAGATGGTCAACGCTCACGAGAAGATGCTCAAAGAGCATGAGCATTTTGGCGAAGTGGACATCGAAATGGATAAGTTGGCCCGAGCGGAGCTGGAGAAGCTGCGCGAGGAGGTCCGCTCTCTCAAGCCCCCCGTCATGGCCCAGACGCAGTGTCTCCAGAAGCTGGAACGCGTCAAGATGCAAGTCAAAAGCGCGGAGCAGGAGGCGGCCCCGCTTGAGCAGCATCTCGAGACGACGAAGCAGGCGCTCATCCAGAAGCAGGAGTTCCTTGAAGCAATAGAAGCTGAAGCCGAATCTCTCAAGTGGCAACAGGTCGCCCGTAACGCGGCCAAGATCGGCGGCAATTGCGACGCCTTCAAGTCAGAGGTCCCCGAGGACTTCTTCCCCCATGACCCCGAGCTGCAGGAGTGCCAAGGCGAGGGCGCCGAGGAGATGCGCGCCTTCGTCCCCCAGCTTGTGGCCGACGCCCGCTGGGCCAAGGCGCGCGCCCTGCTGCGCAAGCAGGTCGCCGCAGGGTCCGTCGCATGCTGCTGCTGCCGATGCTGGTCCGGCAGACACTCAGCACACTGATGAAGGCACCGACGCTGCCGATGGAGGGGGCCAGGCAGGCCGCGCCAAGCGCGGCGTCGAGTTCTCCTTCGACAAGGCCGAGGTCGAGACCTTGTGGTCGAACGTGCATGATGCGACGGCGGAGGGCATCAACGTATCCAAGGAATCTCTCATGGACATAGTCTTCAACGTCCAGCAGCCCGAGCAGCGCCGCCTCTCCAGTGGTGGCGCGGCCAAGACTGGTGGGGGCACTTCCTGGTGATCGGCGGCCGCCCTGTGTCGGGGTTTCGCGCCGGGCAGGGCGCCGCGGTGAGCGCGCCGGCTCCGTCGGATCACGATGTTTCCTACGTCGTTGAGATTTTCAGTGCGAACGCAGGGTTACAAACAATCAAGAAAAAGGCTACCCACTACCTCGGCAATCATCCTCATGGCGCAGGAGATTGGCTATACCCGACCTGCCATGATGGTCGACGGTCTGCTTAGCAGTACGAACAGTAGTATGTCCTTGGGTTCCGAGCTGATGCCCCATAGAGCACAGCGCGCAGTTGTGGATGTCCCTGGTTGGCCTGCGCTCAACCTTTTCGATATGTGCATGTCCGCAGCTGAGGGCGCGTCGGCGCGCAATGCGAAGGTGCTGATGAACATGAGCCTTGCTACGGTAGGTCTGGGAGGCCCTTGCATCATCGGCGGCGGCTGGAATGTCGGCAGGGGGGGTCGAGGCGCCCACTTTCACTGTGAACGCCAAAGTCACCATCGTCAAGCCCTCGGAGGTCACCTGCAGAACTCCCGAGGCGAACGCCACCATCGACTACTTTGCGATGACCGCAGCTGCAGCACAGTTGGTCATGCAAGTTTCAGTGGATAGAGCGTGGGCTACCACACCTCACCGGTCCGTCGCGGTGGAATCTGTCACAGTTGCTGACGAGCTCCAGTGCCTCACGTATGTTTGAAGGGAGAAATTGCCTGCTGGAGTGTGCGCGGACCAGTGCTACCAGACGTCGATTGGAGCAGCGAGATGGCCTGCGCGGAAGCCGCAGCGGACGCAGCTACCCACGGGGGCGCGGATGCGGCCCGGCAGTTCCCAGGCATGGCCTGGGCGAAGTTTGCTGTGCAGGCATGTGTTCGTTGTGGGCGTCCTACTGGCAGCGAAGCTTAACGATTTGATAATTATGCCCGCCACGTCCAGCCGTACTTGGCCGAGCGCAGCTATGAAGGTCGCGGCGCTGAAGGTATCCAGGATATTGCGGATGGGCGGAAGTGGTTCCACGATGCCTTGCTCGGTATTTCCAGCATCGAGGCTGGCGCGACTGTTGATCAAGGCAAGCTGCGCGATGAAGTGCAGGGTTTTCAGGCGACGCCGAGCCCTGGCCACGGCGCGCGCCGCAGGCTCGACGCAGCGATGTCACGTGCCAGGCGATGGCCATCTTCCGAAGCTTTCTCCTGCGATGACACCAGCTCACTACTGGAAGAGGCCGCGACCGACACCCAGTCCGCACTTCAAGATGCTGATCGAGACAGTTCTCAGCGTTGGGAGCGGCGGTGCCAGCCAGGACGGAGCAGAGCGACTTCACCGAGTCACCTCTCATAGGCACGTGCAATCGCCAACGGCCGTTCCAGATCGCATCGGCCATTTCTCGGCTCACCCGCATCGCATTGTGGCTGATATGGAGGAGCAGTGCATCAGCCGATGGAAGGCTGAAGCTCAGGTAATTGCAAAACGGGCGCCAGACCGTTCGTCGTTGAGGCGAGCGCCCCCCCCCCCCCCCATCGAATTCGGAGCGCGTCCGGAACATTTGGCTCGGGCCTCGAAAAGCCTGGGCGGATATCACCCCTTTCACTTCCAGCACCTCAGCGACGAGGCGTTGCGGGCATTGGGCGCGCTCTGGGAGGCAAGCGGACGGATGAGCTTACTTCCTCGGCCACTCGCGCGGATGGCGGCGCCCGTGCTGCCCGCAGCCATGGGCGGCCACAGGCATCTCATTCCCTACTCGGCGAGCTACCGCGCGCGGCAGAGAGCGAGCAGGCCTGAACTTGACCGGCTTCAGGCACGCACTGCCAGGAAGCATTGGAGAGCGGCATCTGGCCGCAGTGCCATCCACGGCGCGTGGCCGTTGCCAGTCAAGACGGATGCCGACGTAATGTGGGGGGGGGGGGGGGGGGCTGCGCGCGGCCGCAGTCATCGATGACTATAGCAAGTGCTATGAGACGACTTCCTTGGAGCAGGCGCGCGGCAAGCTTATGAGGCCAGGTGCTCAGACTGCCCAGAACGCGCTTGTCTACTACCAGCGGAAGGGCCCTAGGATCATGCGCTTGAGAATTCATCGCGGTAGTTGTCCGCAACATTTGATGGGTCCCCCGCTGGCGATGGCTACGCGGCCATCGCCATTGAGGCTCATTCGGTGGAGGAGTACGACCACTATGTCACGCTCTTCCCCTTGGCCAGGTTCTCGTCTTACATCGGGGGGCGGGTCGAAGGAGGTGGCAGCGAAGCTAGCTAGCAGTTGCAGCAGCGAGCGGTTTCAGAGAGACCGCAATGAGACTGGAATTGTGGGTAGCTCTCAGGACATGACGGACGAGATCGCGCATCGGTTCGACGTCGACGCGGAAGTTGGCACGCGCTCGACCCCATACCTTGGCATTGACTTCTGGGGGCCGTGCGCGCGGGGCCCCTTGAACGCGCGGCCAGCGTCGGCAGCGGGCGCTGTGCTGCTCGCAGAGACTCAAGAAGCTGCAGCATTTCAGCGCGGCCTGCGATTGTCGGCGGCGTTGAGACCCGCGGAGTCAGCGACAGCGAGCTGGGCGCATTGCGCAGACGCAACCAGAAATAGCAAACTCCTTACCACGGCGGGGTGTCTTCGGTTGCGAGTCTTGCATTGCGCGGTGATCCTGCGCGCCGGGAAGTGCTTGCGCCAGCCCTGCAATTGCGCGGCAATGCCGCGGCAATCCCGGGCTCTCCCCGCCGCGACCATGGCGCCGACGGCGAAGTTGCTGTTGAGTTGGTGGCGCGCTGCAGCGCAGGCGCCTGGGTTAGCTCATAAATGTTCTCAGCCCCGCGGCCCTCTGCACCGCGCGGCGCTATTCAACGCGCAGGCTGGGGGGCGGTTGCTGGCGAGAGATGGTTGAACCACAACGGTGGGGAGGTCCAAATTGACCAGCTGTCTCCCGTCATGCTCGAGCGGCTCCTGGGCGAAGGCCTGCGTCGGCAACGCAAGCAACGTCTGGGTCAGAAATGGCTCGCGGGCCGTTACTTGCGAATCCCAGTGGATCTTCTACGGCCATGCGTCCGCGAAAAGGCTAACATGTTCAATCAACAACAGAAGGTCTGCATCACGAGTTGCGCGCGCGACGGTGCATGGGCGCGACCCAAAGCAAAAGACGAGGGCTACATCACTGGCGGCACGTGCGAGAACGACGCGCTGGACACGCCGGCGCATCGGCTCGCTGACCGCCCCCCGCCTCGCATCCCAGCGTCGCGCCAAGAAGCAGAAGCGCGCGTGGGGGGGGGGGGGGGGGGGGCGCGTGGCACCCGGGATGACCCCGCCGACGGGGCCATTCTCAGCGGTTGTTCAACGATGCCGACATCCCGAAGATGAATGCTGGCACTCAGGCGCGAGTGGTTCATACCCATGGTCAGAGTGCGGTCTCGATCCCTGAGCCCATGGCGGCCGATGCGGTCGGCGCAGACGCAGACTTCATCGAGGTCGGAATCGGCGGATCTTGCTCGAAGCCAAGTCAGCTGGCATTACAACGTGTGGGTTGGGCAGTTACACCGCTTGGTCCTCAGTCGGATGTGCCTCTGAGAAGTGCGTTCGCACCCGTGCCGTCGACGCTGCCGCAGACGTCTGCGACTGCATGGTTGATCGAAGGTGTTGTGCCTATGCGGATCCACTCGGCACTATGGCGGCTGCGATGCCCCCGCGAGACAAGCAGCTGGCAGCCAACTCGATGCACGGTGGCGTCTTGAGTTTTGCTGGGGACATGCCTGGCCAGCTGCACATCGAGAGTGCCCCCCCGCGTTAAGGCCAACAGGTCGGGAAACGACTATTCCACGTAGGACGCGGCCGCGCGCCAGCTCACTGATGCCAACGAGATGGCTGACCACTCTGCCAAGAAAGGGGCCAGGATGCACGATGCATTCTCTCACGGCTCCGCTGATTGCATTCAATAGGCCGAAGCTCGGTGTTCCAAGTTTGCGAAAATGGTGGCGCACATCCTTCCCCAGCACGCCCAGGAGGCGGAAAGATAGACCAGATCGACGACGGGATGCAAGAAGGTGCGCAGCACAAGGACTCAAGGCTGGCATCAATGGATTGAGACACCCTGGGGGGCTCAATGTTCTCAGTGATTGCAGCTCCGCGGACGAGACGATCAAGACGTAATGGCTGGGCGCCGTGGTGCACCCATATTCTTGATTGGCTTTCTGCGAGATCTTCTTGGACACCGACTTATTGCGGTCAGCCAGAAAGGAGATCTTACATCGGCAGAGGTGGCGCCGTCTTCGTCTGCGTCGGCTGTGGCGCGTGGGCTCAGCTCCAGGTCGCCTTGTGTTCTTGCCACCACAAAAGGCGCTGATAGATTGGACAATGTACGGCATGGTGTGGGTCCACATAAGAAGATTGCCAAGTACATAGACGCGACGGTGCAGCTCAGCAGTATTACCAAGGCAGCGGTTGTGGCAGTCAATTTGAAAACCTCGGTGGTGCGTCCCTGTCCTGACGGCCCATATGCCTTCAAAACCAGACCGGCTGCGCTGCACGAGCGCATCAAGCAGAAGGAGAAGGCGAATCTGCAAAAGCTCGATGATAAGAACACCCTTCGTGGGCGGAGTTCGGTTGCTTCGATTGCGATTCGTATGTGCCCGTCCCCGCCACGACGGAATAGTATCATAGGCCGCCGACGCGGCGGGGGGCACAAATGGTGTTCCCAGGCGGAACAAACTGGACAAAAACACCCCGTCGTCTGCGGAACAAGTGCGGCGGCCAAGACCATTATGATGGAGACCTGGCTACGGCAGCTTCGAGTTCGGCGTGGGAGCCCTGGATAGCTGTGGCGCAGGGAGATGATGTGTTTCCTGAAGTAGTAGATCGTATGTGCTCGTTCCCTTCACGACTGGATACAGGGCTCGGCCAAGGCATGGAGGCCGACACGACGGGGGGGCACAAATGGCATTCCCTCGCGAAACAGAGAGGAAGAGCCACCCCGTCTTTCGCGGAAAACAACGGGCGGCCGAGCCCATGCAGATGGAGACCAGGCGGCAACGACCACGAGTTTGGTTTCGGAGTCCTGGAGTGCTGTGGAACATGGCGACGAGATGTTTCCCGTGGTTGCGGACCGTATGTGCTCGTCCTCTTCACGGCTGACTGCAGTGCATGACCAAGGCACGGAGGCCGACGCGGCTGGGGGCACAAGTGGTGTTTCCATGCGAAACAAACTGGAAGAGCCACCCCGTCGCGCGCGGAAAAATGCGGCGGTCGAGTCCATGCAGAAGGAGACCAGGAGGCCGAGGCGTCGTGTTCGGCTTCGGCTTCAGGGGTGCTGCAAAGCAACTGTCTGGTGAGCTCATTGAGTTGATTATTTGAATCTGGCGCCCTGGGATGGCACTCAGTGAGCGAGCTGGGCGCGGACGTGGTCTACGACACGACGCGTCGCTCCTGCAGTACTTCTACCTCGAGCTGCTGGGCGACATCAAGGCGCTGCCTGAGCGAGGCCCGCTGCCGTTTCGCCAGGAAGGCAGGACCGCCGCATCGGCGCTGTTCTCTCTCTCTCTCTCTCTCTCCTCCTCCTCCTCGTCCTCGTCCTCCTCCTCCTCCTCCTCCTTATTATTGCTGCCTCCTTCCTGCCTTCCTCCTGCACCTTGTCTTCCTCCTTGTCCTCCTCCGTCGTCTCTGATGACTACCATTATTCCTCCTCATCCTTCTCCTCTTCTTCCCCCTCCGCGTCCTTGCTTCCTTCCTGCAAATCCTGCTGTTGTTTCTCCTCTTCCTCTCCCATCCTCGTCGTCGTCGTCGTCCTCCTGCTCCTCCTCCTCCTCCTTCGCATCCTCCTCCCCCGCCGTCTCTTCTCACTATCATTATTCCGCCGCCTCCTCCTCCTCCTCCTCCTCCTCCTCTTCCTCCTCTTCATTATGCGTCCTGCCAATTTCCTGCCTTCCTCCTGCCCGTCCTCCTCCTCCTTTTCCTTTTCGTCCTCCTCTTCCTCCTCCCCCCTCGTCCCACCTCCTCCTCCTTTTCCTGCTCCTGCTCCTGCTCCTCCTCCTGCTCCTCTTCCCTTCCTCCTCCTCCTCCCCTTCCTCCTCTTCCTCCTCCTCCTCCTCCTCCTGGGGCCGGGGCCAGGAACGGGGCCGCAGCTGAAGCGGGGCCTGCATGTGCCAGGACGGTGGCAAAGGCCGGGGCAGGGGCCGGGGCCAGGGTTGGAAGCCTGGGTCCGGGGCCTGGGCTGGAGCCTGGGCCGGCACTCCCAAGCTCAACGGCCCACCAACGAGCCAACCTGAAAGGGAACTAGCCCGCCCTCAAGCTGAACAAACGAACACGACGCAAACATTCCATTCAACACATACTACCTCACGCGAGTGCCCAAAACCTCCTTTTCCTCCTGCTCCTCCCCCTTT